TGTGAAAATATAACAATTCAGAATAAAATTATATCATTACATTACTATCGGCTATATAAATTGATCAAAAATTAACATTTGTTATATCTGATTTTTTTAAATGTTGTTTGCACGCACAAAATAAGGTATAGCCTGTTGAATTTTTGTCTACATTACTTACTCATTTTTCATTTAGTTCATATTTTTGTCATTAAATGTTGCTTATACCAGTACGCATTCAGCAACTTTCCCCTACTTGTTTAATAACTATTTATTTAACGTTAATATTTTTTATTATGCTTTATCCGAAGTATGTTAAAAATATATAAATTAAAGATGTTTAGAAAATTATATACAAAGGATTTTATATCATTAAAAAAAATAATATATTTCTTCTTGCTATAATAAATTCATTGTGATGAATTACAAATTAAGTATTAAAATGAATGTAGATTTGCTTTTTACAAATAACTACAAAACTATATTAAAGAAATATTGTAATTCGATTTTTTTCTTATTTGGACAAAATCAAGTAAAAATATGTTATCTTGCGTAGAGAAGATTTCTTGAATTCTCAGTATCTGAAGTTTATTACCTCAAGTAAATTGGATACTCACTTCTAGCAATTCCTCGGGCCGGCCCACTTCGTTCGCGAGTTCCCATAACTCAGTACCCAATTTATCCGCCCATCTGGCCACGCTAGTGAAAGTTAGAAAATTGCACTATATATTTAATTTAAATATCCAGGAAAGCACACCAATTTAATTGGAGTTGCAGTTGAAAAATATGATAATAATAAGCAGTACAAATTAAAATACACTATAAAGATAAATATAATAATTAATTAACAAATTAGTTTAGCCTATCTCTTTATTTTATGTATATAAGCTTGTTCAAATAGGCAATCAAAAACAAATCTTCTAAATATAATCTTGCATGTAAATATTACTCATTTTTTAATTTTTCTAATATTTTTGTTCTATATTTCTAATTTTTTAATTTTCTTTTTATTTATAATGCATCTATTTAAAGCACATTCATGACTTGCGTTCTTTACAACGCAATGCGGAACTCACATGTGAGCATTTTTAGCCAGACATACGACGAACACCAACGCGAAGTAAAAGATAAAACATGCACTCGACATGAATAAAACTCGCCGCGTCCGTTTCCTCTTTCTTTATAGTCTTCGCGCTATTCGTTCCTATGATATGGAACGTTATGCTCTTCAACTCTCTAGAAAAAGCACAGATATGCGAAAGCTTACGATGGTAGATCAGACACTCGATTGGCTGTATGTCTACTGCGGAACGAACCGGCTGCGAAGTTTCGCTCCCAGTTCGATTATTTTTGGCACACGAGCAACGCCGACTTGAAACTCTAAAGCTTCTTTCTTGTTTCCTGGCGTAGATATAAAATCATGTCGGCCGGTCAGAACGTTGTTTATACATATTCATGTATAAAAAATTTTTTATTGGGGGTACATAGTTGGATTCCCAGATAAATATGTTGTCTGATGTTTACAATTCTAAATACATTAGGTATTGCAATTTGCAAGAAATTTACGACATAAAGTTTACTGGTTTTTATATCAGGAAATAACATAATCTGGTTTATGTAAGTATTCATATATTTAATATATTCCTGTATTTAAATTAGTAACAATTTTTTATGGATTTGTAAAATAAAAGATAGATCCAATAAAAGATGGATCTGTAATTGCATGAAGATTCGTATTTGATCAATTGAAAACAGATGATAAACAAATTTATCCTGAATCTGAAATTCCAAATATGCATCGGATAGAACAAGATTTGCAGACAAGAGTTGAAATATACCTGGAACTCCAAATATTGGGACATAACGGAATTTTCGTGCAACAAATTTGACTTGAATTATCTGGAATTCTAAATATGCGTCGGACAGAACGGGATTTGCAGATAAGAGTTGACGTAGAACTTATTTGGAATCCCAAATGTACTTTGAATATAACAGGATTTCCAGTACAAGAAATCACATTTAACCAGAATATCCAAATTCATATACGGATTTTTGGCAGGAAAGATAATCGATTTGTAGGTAAACGGGATTCCCCCTGATTCAAACATCGAGAATGCATAAATATGTATATGCTTGTATGTTTTATGGTATCAGTCAATTATGTGCACAAGACGAAGACATGGATATACATATAGTCAATGATATAAATATTATTGTACAAGCTCCAAAAAGTGTTAAAAAATGCAATTTTAAGGCATTTTTCAAGCAAGTCTGAAAGACATCTTTTAGTAAAGTCATAAAGACGTCTTGGCAAACAAAATTTATTGAATTTTACTCTGTACCAAACGCAATATTCCAGATTTACTTACACAAATATTTACAAAGAACATCAGAGAGCGTCTAATATTATACTCAGTACAGCGGAACAGACGCGTATACTTGGCGCGAGACACTACTGTGTCTCTTGATAAAATATTGTATAAATTATTTTTCAATTACACAAAAAGTTAATGTATGCTATAGAAGATTTTATCAATAGTTTCTCCAGGCTATTAATAAAATATATATTATAAAAATATTGAAAATATTAGAAATAATAAAAAATATGTAAAAAATTATTGACAAAATGGCAGTAACATGTAAGAAAAATATTTTAGAAAGTTCTGTAGATAAATATATATTTTGCGAAACATTTTTTTTTGGTCGATCGGATCAGTCCGACTCCTTTTAATAAAATTGCCTTTTAAATGTGTCTATATATGTCTTCCTCTATCACATCTTTACGCTTTTTTATCAGCGCTTGAATTTCGTTCAAAATGTCCATGCCTTGAAAAAAACTGTTCGGGAAATTTTCCACCTGAAACAGAGTATAATACGAGATGTTTAATAATTAGTAATTTATTACTAAGTGACATAATTTTTAATAAAATATAATTTTTCCAGTTAATGAAACCATAAAAAATATATTACAGGCAATAGGAGATATTAATGAAAGAGTCAAAACATTAATAAATAAATTGAACTCTTGTTCAGCTAAAAAAACAAATAATTTATCTAAAGAACGTGTTAAATGGTTTTCCATACCGTATTTGGAAGAAATATCGAATAAATTCAAGAATGCAATTAATGGGGTTTGTGTGTGTGCCATAGGATTTCATTTTTTAGTTTGAACAAGTTGAATCAGTTTATTAAAGTTCATAAAGCTTCTTTAAACAATGAATTAAAAAGGAATGTAGTCTACAAGATCAATTGTCGTGATTGCGATACTTCCTATGTGACACAAACTGGGAGAAAATTAAAAACCAGACTTTCTGAACACAAAAAGTATATCCATAGTAAAACATCCACTCATTCAGTGATCACAGAACATAGGTTGCAGAACGATCATGACTTTGATTGGCAAAACGTAGAGATTTTAGATGTAGAAAATTATTACAATAAAAGGTTAATATCAGAGATGATGCATATTAATCGACAGACCAATGGGCTGAATCTACAACATATGTTGTAGATTTGCTGGTCGAGCTCCTCTTTTCCCAGTCGCAGAATAATTAGCAATGCTCTCACTATACACCTCTAAAAGAGTTTCTCATACAAGTCTCTTCCAATCGTACTTATCGTTGTCCGTTCTTGCTTTCAATTCGATATAAGCAACTTTATCACGTGGTAAATAAAAACCACTATTTTGTGATATTTCTATCTGTAATATTGATATTTGGAAATTAATTACTAGTCTTATATTAGTAGAAATCAATTTTTTAAATAATAATGTGCACACTAACTAAATTGTTTCCTGGGTTAAACATGTGTTGTGGAATCTAAATAAAAGAAATGAGACAAGATAATAATAAAAATAGAATGAAAATTTTAAATCTATATAATATACTATTTACACTAAATTCTCTCAGAACATTTTATCGTAAAAGTTTCTGTATTATTTCGATTTGATTTTGCTTCGGATTCATATGCATCTCATAGCTGTAAGAAGAAATTCTTGAAATTCGATATCTCGTTTGGTAACTGAAATATTAATAAATATAATTATTATTGTCCACGGAATATAAGTTCTATGCGCTAAACGCGCATAACCTCAAGTTATTTAATGATTTATAATTATTTCCATTCTTAATAATTAAAAAATGTCGGTATTTTATTTTTTTAAATTTATAAAAAAGGTATCTTGTTTTATCAACAATAAATTTACGCTGATTTAAACAGTTAGAGCGCTTCTACAAATATATTTTACTCAATAATTGTTATAGTCGCTGCTAGCATGTTACTGCACATGTTCCAAAAAATGTCTCAAAGAGAACAACCTTCTAAATGACTTTCTAAAAGTCTGAGAGACATCTTTTGGTGAAATCATAAAGAAGTTTAAAGAAAGATATTTTTCAAAATTTTCTGTATTGAATGTATATATTTCAGAATTATTACATTTATAAAAATATTTTACAAATAACATCAGAGAGTATCTAATATTATATAAATCATTTCTAAATTATAGAAGATCAATGTGTTAAAAAAGTTTTATTGACAGTTTCTAAACTGTTAATAAAATACTAAAAATGTTAGAAAACATTAAAAATATTATAAACAATTAAAGACAGACAAAAAATTATTCACAAGATGACAGTAATATATGTATAAGAATAATATTTTTAGAAAGTTCTGTAAATAAATATATATTTTATAACACATTTTCTTTTGGACGACCGGATCAGTCCGATCCCTATACTAATTAAATTGTCTGTTAAACGTGTCTATGCCTTCCTTTAGTATATCTCTATGTTTGTTTATCATTGTTTGAATTTTATTCAAAAAGTACGTATCTTGAATATTATTTTTGACGAATTCATTTACCTGAAATAGATTATAATTCGAGAAGTTTAGTAATTAGTAGTTTATTCATATATTTCATAATTTTCGATAAAATATAGTTTTTAACTTAACATAACTTTAACAAATAAACGTATACACATATACTAAGCACAAATAATATATTTAACTTAATTGTTCATTGCTGAAGTATACATATATATGTATACTAGAAAAAAATTGCCTTTTATACAGGATGTTTGATAAGTAATGATAAAACTCTCGCATAGGGGTAGAGCGGAGTAACTGAGTCGAAAAGTCCTGTATTATTTTAACATTTCCGCTATAATAAATAAGATATCAATTACTAAAAATCATTGAATATTAGTTTTCAATAATATTTTACTCAAGTATTATCAACTTTATAGAAAAACATCAACAGACAAGAGTTGTTTATTTTCTTCTCATAGAGTTCGAAGAATTTTTTCAGAATTTTTTATCAACCTTTTCTTTACTACATTTTCTTTATATTGACAACTATTTTTACCAATATGAGAAAATGCGGCACTGAAATTTTGAAAAAATTCTTAGAATCGAATCGAAACTCTATGAGAAGAAAATAAACAATTTTTGCCTGCTGTTTCTCTGTAAAGTTGATAGTACTTGAAAAAAGTTATTGAAAACCAATATTCGGCGATATTTAGTAATTAATATTTTGTTAACTATTGCAAAAATTGTAAAATAGTAAAGGACTTTTCGACTTAGTTTAATCCGCTCAATCCTTATGTGAGAGTTTTATCATTAATAATCAAACATCCTGTATATGTATACAAACCTTTTGGACATGTACACATATGTATTCGAAATAATTAATTAAATAATTAATTTATGATTTGAAGATTTTCTAAAAATGTTTTCAACATTTAAGCATTATCCGATTTTAGAAAATGATTTACCTCAAAAATGCAAATAATTAATTTAAAGATAGAAACATATCTATTAACATTAATTGACTTATCTAAAGTTGCGTTAAATTATACTTCCACATGACAAATGATTTTCATTTAAATCGGGCTATATATAGCTACAATATTATTGATAGTCAATATTAGGTTAATAAATATGTAAATCCAGAATCATAAAATTTACCGTGTAAATTTGTTGATAAGAATAAACATTCGAAAGAATAATTGTTACTAATGCAGTTGTAGTCATTGACCTATAAAACAAGAAAAAACATATTTTTTATTAAAGAAATTTTATAATTAAGAAGACAGTATATATTTACCACAAGAAATGTTATTACCTAGGTTTTATGGTCTCAAAATTGTTTAATATGTAGTTAAGGATCAAATTGTTGCGCGAATGATTTTCAAGAATACACAGAACGGCAAAATAACGCTCCTTTTCGTTAAATAATGTAGGGTTGAATGCTGTAATATTTAAAAAGTTGATAATGATATTAGGATCTTCAGCGCAACTTAATCCTCTTAATAAGAGTTTTACAAATTTTTCCCTCATTCGATATTTCTTTAAACTGTTTTTAAATTTTTCATTTTTTAGATTTTTATGTTGATATAATATCAGTGTTTTGTCCCAAGTAGTTCTATTGGCTGTCATCAAACCAGCACAGTACATAAATTTTTGCATCCATTGTGGAAATCTAAAATACATATAAATCTATCAAGAAATGATACATGCATTCCATACATATAGCGGACTTTTTATTTTATCAAGATTCGTATTTTTATATTCTTTTATTATAAGTAATCACTATTTCGTAAAAAATTAAATTTCCGTTCTGAATTACTCCTGTACTCTGTAGCTTATATTTGTCACATCACTACATGATTATGTTGCAGTGAAGTTAAACATAAATAAAAGAAACTCGGTTATAATGCTAATCAATTTATTGGATATTTTATCTTATATCCAATGATATATATTCATTAGGCGTTCAGCAAAAAAAGCACTTTTGTAATTGTGATAAAGATTCTTTTGATATGATTGTCTTTTTATCTGAATTCCTTACGAATCTAAGTGTATAAACCAATTACATTAAAGAATCTCACACACAGTCCACAATAAGCCATTAATATCATTAATAAATCAGAAATCAGAGAGAGAAGCTAAAAATCATAATCAATTATTCTTCTCACATTTGCGAATATGACTACGTTTATATATCGAGTCGATTTACGTCGAATTTATAACATCGATGTTATGAAACTGGCCAATCACAGTCATTTCATTCTTCAGAGGAATAATTATGATTGGCCAGCTTCATAAAATCGATATTATAACTTTGACGTAAATCGAGCCATGTAAATGTAATATGTGATTGATCAATTTATAGCTTCTGATTTATTATTAATAGCTTACTGTAGAATGTGCTTTACAGTAGTTGCAAAATGCTTTTTCTGCTGCTATTCTGTGAGTTACCTTATTTGAATAAGAATGGCGATTGAAAGGAAACAATAAGAAAAATATTTGATACCGACGATTTTAAGAAATAAAGAATCAACTATATATTCATATGCGGGCATGTGAATATTGTACAATAGAGACAATTAAAGAGTCATAATCATAAGAAAAATTACTTGTAAACATTAGGATTCATGAGATGTTCGCTTAATTTGATGGCTGCCTCCTTCCTACAATATTGCTCACCGAGAATACATGCCCATTCTATGGTATCTAGCCTTGTCAGTTTTACCATATCGTCATCATGAGAACTTTCTGAGAAGCCTATTTTCTGAAGAAAACTGCCAAGGAGTGACGTTATGGTTGTCTAAGAATCATCAAATCATGTATTGGTTTTATAATGGTTTAGTAGTAATTGTAAAAATGCGTAATCTTATATATGTATACAATATATGTATATTTTGCTTTATCAATATATGTATATTGGATTGAATAAAAAGTAACTTCATATTTTTAGGTGATATTCAAATCTAAAAATACAAAATACACTTTTTACTCATTACTTAACCCAATACATTCATATTATACGAAAATCATTGAATATATCTGCACTCAATTTTCACTAAGAGAAGAAAGGAATGATCAGATTGATAAAGGCCGATCTACAATTGCGTAAACGTAGTTGTAGTTTAAGAACTGATCAATTATACAATTGAATACGAAAATATCCAACTGTGACTGAAGAATTCTTACAACTACGACTACTTATAATTATACGTTTATGCGCCATTGTAGGTCAGGCTTAATACTACAAAATACATACGTCTATATCCTTTTTATGAAATCTATTAATCTACCTTGATATGTGCGGCCTCTGGCAGGAAAAAATATTTCCACAATCGTTGTATAATTGGGAACAATGAATGCCATACCATAATATCTTCCTCTCGATTTAAATATTTTATAAGACTAACGAAGACAGATCCACTTATTTGTTCATTCAGCACAGAGGCAAATAAATCGCTGATGACTTGAACACGATTAAGAAAGTGTATGTTCGTGTAATTCTCAAAATTTAAGTAATATGAAATTTTTTGCCAATTAGAGATATCATATGTGACACGATAGTATCCTGTTAAATTATTCGTTATACTTATTACAAAGTTTTTTTTTAATTAAATCTATTGAAATATACAGTTCCGACCAAAACTTTGGAAACATTTGATGCTTCATCAAATTGTAGCTTTTCAAAGTAAGACAAAGATATTGCAAAAAACTTTTAATTTCATGTAATTTGAGAACATGTCGCGGATAGAAAATTCAAACGCGGATTTAAAGTGCATGGTCCTTCAAAGTGCATGGTCGAAGACTCCTGCAAGATTCTTTTTCATCAAGATATTTAACTTTTCATAAAATGTGAAAAAATCGTAAGTGCTTTCAAACTTATGACAGGGACTGTATCTTTCAACTATTGAAAGTTTGCGTTTTCTTAATACAATAAATAAATGTAATACTTACAAATATTATAAATAAGTATAAAAATTATGGATTAAAGTTCTACATTAATTATAATTTTACATTAATTAACATTTGGCAATGTTTCAAAAAATTTAATTATATAAATCTCTCTTTAAGTTTTTATAAATAAATTATTAAAAAATATATGTACAAAGAATGATGTAAAACCTTCGTTACAATAAAACAAAATAGAAAAACCATAAATTCATTGAAGCATTCTTACCAGTTTGTTGTATATTGACAATAATCCAATCTTCTCGTTTAAGTAGATGGCGGATGATCGTTTTATTTGGTCGTAACCAGGCTTTGGGCACAGTATTGGAAAAATCCGGATTGGACCTCGTAGCAAAAGTTAAGGGTATGTACCATTCATTAGTACACGTATTGTTAATACATGTATTATTAATACATTCATTAATTTCTTGTTTGTAGATACATTTTTGAGATAATGTCATTATGTCATTAATTTTGCTGCTTATTCGCTGCACATCCACCTCAGGATAACTGTTTTGGTTCATCCATGTATCCATCACTTCCTTTATTCTGTAACCGTCGTGCGGGACATCAGATTCGTCGAGAGCACTTTGCATGGCGCTCCACAAATTATCCGGAGTGGTTGAGCTGTATCGACTAATTTTAAAAGTGATTCATTGTAATAATTAAATTTAATAGCAATGTGATATTGGATACCTAAGTTTATGTTTCTGATAAATACAATATGAATACAAGAAGCATTATTATATTTATGATATTTAATATTATAATAAATATTAATTACACGTGTTAGACTATATTATACACACTTACTTCCTGGCCAAATACATGATTAGACCCTTTTGGAATATCTCATCAGTAATCATATGATGTAACATGCGTAATAAAACTGGAGCTACAATACATTATACAATAAAACACCAATTAACTTTTAAAGTAGATACGTTTAAAATATATATATAATTAAGATCCAATGTAAACATATAATACTTTACATATGTGTAAATATGTATTGTGTGAAAAGAAGATTTTATTTCCTTTAATCTTCTCTTTTATCTTTTGTGTGCTACATATACTCTGAGAATAATATAATTTATTGTGCATATTTACTTAATTTTACCTTTTCCATAAAGTTCAATGGAATACTGCGACATATTATCAAAAGTACTGTTCAGTACCAATGTGACAGAGTTCAATGAGCCAACATCTATCGTCAAACAAGTCTGTAAGGTCCTAATCACAAAAAGATCCATCATTCGCCAACCTTCAAAAATCTAAAGAAAAAAATGCTTTGATGTGACTCAATATAAAAAATTTGAAGAAAGTTTTTGCATTAAAAATTAAAATAATCGTTTGTCGTCACTTCAACTTCGTTATTTTACTTTTTCATAATACCTACAAATTTTATTATCATTTTCATATTAAATCGTCTTCAAGGCAAGCATATTTAGTTTAATTATTTTTGAAAATGTTAAAAATTACTCAATATAAAAATAAATTCAAGATATAAAAACCTACAATGTTGAATTTTTATTATTTTATTAAATTATTTTATTAAATGTTGATTGCGATAGAGAATAAAATTTTCTAATGAAACTATTGCATTATTCTTACTATTCCTATATACAATAATATTTAAATATAAAAAATTTAAATAGAGGTTCTTTAACACAATAAATATAAAAAAGGGAACATATTAGCCTAGCAATACGCACTGAAGTTCCCATAAACTTCAATGCAATTTGCTAATCGAGATTTTTTCGTGTTTTTGAATTTTTCTTTTTCTTGGAACCTATTTCGAAGCTTCTTAATTCTATCGACTTTTGCACATTATAGAGATTTGTTTCTTAATTAATTCTCCATCGATTGAAAAAAAAGTTAATTGAAATATATCCATTTTTACAGAAATTACAGTAAGAAATATAGATGGGATTCCAGGGACCCGAGTGTGTGTAGCTAAGATTAACTTTCAATATGAATTTGTATTAAAATGCCTTTATACCTAATTATTTGTTATAACTATTATAGTTACAATTTTTATGGAATTCTAATTAAATAACGAGCTATTATGTATTCAGTATCATCTTGATATATTTTATAAAAATATAGTATTAATTTTATATTGGCATTAACTTACTCTTAATTTAAAATATATATTTCAAGTTTTTTATTTTGCAATAAGCTATACCTTTTATTATATGTATATATATTATAAATATTAAATAACCTTGTCGATGATGTACGATTCTAAGAAAGTAGTAAATCCCTCTTTTAACCACAGGTAAGACCACCAAATTGGAGTAACCAAATTAAACCATTGATGTACAAGTTCACGTGTTACTACCTTTGCTACTTCTATTTTCTTATATATTGAATGTTTATTATCATCATAGATAGCACGAAATTCACTGAAACATAGAATAATATAATTATATAAAATACTCTTATCATGAATATGCAGTTTAACGTATCCCTGAGTAATTACATTATTTATAATTCTGTGTTTTTAATTATTAAATTTCGTATATAAAGAAAAACGTTTGCTAACTTTAATAATTTTATTAACTTCTTTTTAATTAAAATGTTACTTGTAAGTGATGAGTCCCCAATTTTCCATACCGTCAACCGGAAAATTCGGTATCAAAACATGATCCATTTTGGATATCTCCTCGGATTTATTGGTATATTGAATCATAAATGGTACAACTTTTTCAGCAATATTGTAAATAAATGTTACTTGCGATAACAAAAACGAACTACACCATATGTTAACAGTTTGGTCATAATTGGAACGATGGTAAAAATCGCATTTGGGGATTACAACAATCGCCACAAGATAAGTGGGCATTGAAGAAGTAAAGTCAAAACATGTCTGTATCATGTCATCTTTTCCCGTCACTTGCTTTTGCATTTGCATGTTTGACAATATCAAGTATTTCTGATGATGCATTACAGAGATGTTGAAGATGGCTTTCAACTCTGGCTCGTCCCAACATGGAAACACTTGCCTGGCTCCATTCGGTTCGAAATATGTTGCAGCCATTCTATAATTTAACTCTAGTTATATACACTGGGGTCTCAAAAACTTCAGTGCAATTTCCTAAATCGAAATTTTTTTGTATTTCTAAACTTTTCTTTTTCTTTGAACCTATTCCTACTGAAAAAAATCATGTCACAACGTTACCTGATGAAATCATGTAATTAAAACATGTAAATCACGTAACGGATTGTTCCAAATCAGGGTACCTATATTATGGTAATAATTGGAATGGATTCTGATCGGAATTATTTCGTTTTCTTCAGAAAACACAATAGAAATCTAGGGAATAATTGAATAATTTCGATCGGAATCAATTCCGAACATTTCTATAATAGGTGCCCTGTATGTGATTTTTGAAAATGACGTAATTTGAAAAATCACATGATATTACAAATAATTTCATCCAGCATGTGATTTTATAGTTATCGAATTTTAAAGAATTGAATGATAGATATAGAAGAAAAAAGAACGTAACATGTGACTTCTCAAAATACGTAATTTTAAAATCACGTACTGATTTGAAGCAATCCGTTACGTGATTTACATGTTTTAATTAGGGAGGATCCCGTTTGCCTACAGTTCTGATTGTACACACCACTCATATCAACTGGTGTCTAGTAATTTTTCACTGTTTTGCCAATGAGATTATTTTATTTTTAAATTGGCCAATCAGCGGTACATGTGTGCAATATGAGATGTGTGCAATCGGAGCCCTCCCTTTTAATTACATGATTTCATCATGCAACTGTGTGACATGATTTTTATAGGGATATATCTCGAAGTTCCTTAATTCTATCGACTTTTACACATCATGGACTTGTTCCTTAATTAATTCTCCATTGATCGCAAAAAAAAATAATTAAAATATGTCCATTTTTACGGCAGTTACAGTAACAAATATGGATGGGGTCCCAGAGCCCCGAATATGTATATCAAGAATAAAAAAATGTATATATATAGCTAAAGTTAAGGTTAAAAATATCTTAAATGTCGGCAAATTTTCTGCTCATGTTAGATTTACATTGTAAATATACTTTTCATATTTTGATATTAACTTACATGCCTTGTTCTTCTTCTTTATTTGTGTATGGAAATTTCATAAAACCTCTGTTTACAAGATCAATCTCAAATATAATGCCGGAAAATTTCATATTAAGACTGTAAATTCCCTCAAATAATGTATTTTCGAAATGAAGTGTTAAAATATTCATTATATTGTCATAAGAATGTTTTATCGGTTTATAAAATGTATAAGGCTCGTGTTCAACTAATGTTGTCTCTATTTCATTTATTTCTAATCCTCTTGAGTGTAAGCTTATGTTTTTCGTTGCACGATTAATTATGATATCGATGTTAGATTCACCATAAAAGATAGGGTTGATTTCCTCGAGATGCGGTATTATCAGATTAATCTTATAAAAAAATGGTTTCGTATTGTTGGGTAAACGAATAATTTTTAAATTGTCATTGGAACAAAAGACCATGTTTATGGTCAGTATTATACTAAAACTTATTAGTAACAACTTTAAGAATCTCATGACGTTCCGATACTTGCAGTTTTACGTATCTGCGATTTTTAATTAAAAAGAAAACAAATAATTATAATAAAATGCCTTCCAAAATTGTTATAACACAATATTTTAAACATAAAAATAGAAAGAATAGGAAAAATAATTTTAGCAATTTTTATTAATAGAATCATATATATATATATTATAAAAAGAAAGATGTATACATATATATATATATATATCCTTAACAAAAAGAATAAACTATTTAATTATTGTTATTTTTAACTTACTTTGTATATTACATCCACGTACAGATTGAAATACAGTTGATTCGGACAGAAATTACAGTTTAATTATAATTATTACAGTTATCGATACGACGATTTAATATATTATTAGTCGTTAATATATCAGTATATATGATTTTTGTTTTCTCGAAAGATCTCCGAATATTTAGTACAACATCAATATCTCTACCGTTATTATAAATATGTCGTGTGTGTGTGTGTGTGTGTAAATATGTTATAAGGTCGATCAAGATATATAGGGTGTCTCATATATAATAACTCCATTAGCTGTCTGGGGTGGTGGCTTAGAACATATATAAATGGAAGGGGCATAGGACACTGAACGTTAAACCAACATCTGCGAGAGAGAAAGGTAGTAAGGGATAAATATTCGCAATGCGCATGCGCAGCACCGTCATCTGTGTGAATTGTGCAGTTGTTTTAGGCCCAGTTTCACAACTTACTGCCTGTCTACAATACACGGAGTAAGAAGTAAGAGTAAGAAATTGACCAATCACAGTCGATTATTCTTCTCACATTCAACTGTGATTGGTCAATTTCTTACTCTTACTTCTTACTCCGTGTATTGTAGACGACGCCTTAAGCCTAATGGTATATCCATACAAACTTGCATAGCCGCATAAACGTATGCATAAAGACAATTATCCAATCGCATTTTTCTTACAAAGTTGCACGTAAAATGAGATTGGATAATTTTCTTTATGCACACGTTTATGCGGATATGCAAGTTTGTGTGGATATAGCCTAAGTCCGGATCTACAACAGGTGATTTAAGCTTTAAGCCATAAGAAATTGACCAATTATAATCGAATCCGAGGGGAATAATCGATTGTGATTCGCCCATTTCTTATGACTTAAGGCTTAAAAATCTATTGTAGATCCGGACTAAAGGGCTTCACATATGAAATGCATAACAGAGCATAAGCATAACATAAGGCCGCTAAACCAATAAGCATCTTATGTAAATCAATATGACGACATTATGCTAGATGCTCATTGATTCAGCAGTCTTATGTAAAGCGGGGAGCACTCTTGCATAACGCATAACACATGAGGCATAAGAAATTGAACCAACCAGAGTTCTCTATTACATGGAAGGGAAAAAAACGGAGAACTTCGATTGGTACATATTCTTATGCATTACGTGTTATGCGTTATGCAAGAGTTTGTGCTCCCCGCTTTATTCTTATGCTCTGTTATGCATTCCATGTGTGAAGCCCTTAAAACGGGGAGCGTCAAAGTTCTTCATTTCCTTCCTTTCCATGAAATAAAGAATTCTGATTGTTTAATTTCTTATGCCTCATGTATTATGCGTTATGCAAGAGTCTGTGCTTTCAGCTTAACCCCGGATCTACAATAGGGTTTTAAGCATAGACATATAAGATAGACCCAGCATCTATAGTACATGTTGGGGTTTGGCAGAACGGTGCGAGAGGCAAGATATCGGGGCAACCTGTCCTTCTCTGCGCGTGCATCTTGACATTCTTGACA